TTTACGAACCCATTAGCATTATACTCCTATTTGACCATTTCCTTACTGATATTTGGTTTCATCAAGTTTTTTAATTTTTCTAATCTGGAAAGGAATCTTATTGCTATTTATTGGTTATGTGGGTTTCTTCTTGGGTGAAAGATTTTTTTTATCCTTTACCTATTTTTTTTCTTTCTCTTTTTGTCATTCTAAAATATATAGTCTGAATGCTAGTAGTCTTTTTTTTACCTTCAGTCTGACAGATACCATTTCATAGTCTGTGACTTGTCTTTGATTTTAATCACATGATAAAGAGCTTTTGTGTTTTACTTTGTCAAATTAATTTGTGTGTCTCATGAAGTCTTTCTGTCTTTCTTTCACAAGGAGCTTCTATAATTCTAAGATTTTTAAAAATACGTTTTTATTGATTTTTTAGAGAGAGGAAGGGAGAGGGACAGAGCTTGAACCCCAGTGGAGGGCATGCAGGAGACAGCTAATCAATAATTCTCTCTCATCACTGATGTTTCTATCTCTTTTTCCCTTTCCCTTCCACTCTGAAATAAAAAAAAAAATATTTATTAAAAGTAATAAATATAAAGCAAAAATTTTTAATTTTGATGAAATGCATTTTATAATTTTCTTTTATGGTTCATTCTTTTTGTGTCTAAAAAAATCTTTGCCTACCTTTAAATATTATATTATTTCACATATAATGTTACTACATTGCAATAATATTTTTTCATTTTTTCCCTTTGTACTATTGTTTCATACATTATAGTCCTACATATGTTTTTTAATAACACTTTATAAATCCTACTACACATTGTTATTTTTTCTTTAAACAGATATTTTTCCTTCAAAGAAATTAAGAAACATAAAGCAAGTTTATCTACCCACATATTAATCTCTTTTGGTATTCTTCATTTCTTTGTGTAGATCCAGGTTTTCATCTGATAACATTTTCCTTTTGCTTGAAAAGTGTCCTTAACATTTTTTATAGTATAGGTCTATTGGAAAACAAATTCTGTGCTTTTTTGGAGGGGGGACAGAGAGCTCTGAAAAGTATTTGTTTTGACTTATTTCTGAAAGATATTTTCAATGGATATAAAATTCTGTGTTAAAAGTTTTCTTTCAGCACTTTAAAGTTGTCTATGATGATTCCTTATTTTTGTTCCTCTGGGCATAATGTGTCCTTTTTTCCTCTGACTACTTTGGAGGTTTCCTCTATCATGAGTTCTATGATTTTTAGGAATCCTATCTAATAAAAGAGAAACATGGTAATTGGCATACGACCGCTACCCTTCCTATTGGCTAATCAGGGTGATATGCAAATTAACTGCCAGCCAAGATGGCGGCCGGCAGCCAGGCAGCTTGAAACTAACATGAGGCTTGCTTACTTCAGTGACGGAGGACTCCAACGTTCCCCGCTGCCTTGCCAGCCTCTGAGCCTGAAGTTTAAGAAACATTGTAACAAATATAGAAGCTAAACAAAACCCCAGAAACCAGCTTTCAGCTGGCTGGGATCTCAGAGCTGGAGTTGATACAGAGTTTCGATTATAGAACCTAAACAAACCAGATACCTACTTTCGCAGCTGAGGCCTCAGAGCTGGAGCCAGAGCTAAAGCTGGCCCAGAATAAAAAAAGAAAAAAAGAAAAAAAAGAGCAGTTGGGAGCTTCAGTCCCAGCCTGAAAACAGCCATCAGCCCCTCACCAGACTGGCCAGGCACCCCAGTGGGGACCCCCACCCTGAAGGGTGTGTGACCACCTGCAAACAGCCATCATCCCCTCACCCAGGCTGGTCAGGCACCCCAGTGGGGACCCCCACCCTGATCCAGGACACCCTTCAGGGCAAACCAGCCAGCCCCCACCCATGCACCAGGCCTCTACCCTATATAGTAAAAGGGTAATATGCCTCCCAGCACCGGGATCAGCAGAGCCGAGAGGCCTCCCGGCACCGGGATCAGCGTGACAGGGGGCAGCGCCCAAACCCCCTGATCGCCCTGCGGCTCTGTGTGTGACAGGGGGTGGGGCCACAACCTCTCTATTGGCCCTGCTCTGTTCCTGACAGGGGAAGGCGCCCCAACCCCCTGATCGGCCCTGTTCTGTGCCTGATAGGGGGAGCTCCCCAACCCACTGATCACCCTGCGGCTCTGTGTGTGACAGGGTGCGGCGCCCCAACACCCCCACCCCACGGGCCCTGCTCTGTGTGTGACGGGGTAGAGCCATAACCTCCCCATCGGCCCTGCCCTGAGTGTGACAGTGGCGACGCCCCAACCCCATGATCCGCCCTGCTCTGTGGGTGATAGAGGGCAGTGCCCCAACCCCTTGATCCGCCCTGCTATGTGTGTGACAGGGGGGCGGTGCCCCAACTCCCCTATCGGCGCTACTCTGTGAGTGACAGGGGGGAGCTCCTCCACCCCCTGATGGGCATTGCTCTGTGCGTGACAGGGGGGAGCTCCCCAACCCCCTGATGGGCCCTGCTCTATGTGTGACAGGGGGGAGCTCCCCAACCCCCTGATCGGCCCTGCTCTGTGCGTGACAGGGGGAGCTCCCCAACCCCCTGATCGGCCCTGCTCTGTGCGTGACAGGGTATGGAGCCCCAACCCCCCCGATGGGCCCTTCTCTGTGCGTGACAGGGGGCAGCGCCCCAACCCCCTGATTGGCCCTGCTCTGTGCGTGACAGGGGGTAGCGCCGCAACCTCCCCATCGACCCTGCCTTGAGTGTGACAGGGGGCGGTGCCCCAACCCCCCAATCGGCCCTACCCTGGGTGTGATTGATGGTGGCATCGCAACCTCCCAATCCGCCCTGCTCTGTGCATGACAGGGGGCGGCGCCCCAACTCCCCAATCGGCCCTGCTCTGAGCCCGACCCGGGGCTGCACCTAGGGATTAGGCCTGCCCTCTGCCACCCGGTCGTTATCTCCCGAGGGGTCCCAGACTGCGAGAGGGCACAGGCCGGGCTGAGGGGACTCCCCCCCCCCCCCCCCCCGAGTGTACAAATTTTTGTGCACCAGGCCTCTAGTCCTATATAATAAAAGGCTAATGTGCAAATTGTCCCCTCGACCGGGAGTTTGACCAGGGGCTGGGGCCAGCCTGCCAACTGCCCGCGGCCCCTCCCTTGGGTGGGCCAGCTGGACCCCATCCGTGTATGATTTTGTGCACCGGGCCTCTAGGATAATACAAGGATAAACTGTTTCATGTACTCAAAACTGTAAACCTACTTTTTGCCCCACCCTTACATTACCCGTAATTCTCCAGTGGCTTCTCAGATCACTTACAATAAAACCCGAAGTCATTAATGATAGTCTACAAGGTTCTGTGTATCTCTTGGCTTCCTCTCTAACCTCATTTCTGATTTGAATATTTATTATACACTACTCTCTCATCACACTGGCCTCATTGCTGTTCCTCAAGTAATTAAAGCATACTTACACATTAAACTCTTTATTGATATTTCCTCCGCCTTAAAAATTTGTCTCTTTGATATTTCCCTGGCTTACTATTATTCCTTCAGATGACTGCTCGAATGTCACCTCCTTCGAAAGAGACCTTTCTCAAAACACTAGTAGTGTTTTCCCATCACTCCTCAGCTTCTTTTCTTCTTTATTTTTCTTAACAGCATTTTTCCACCTCACATCATATTTATATATGTCTGTGCTCATTATCTGTTGGGAAGGGAGTTCCATGAGGTCAGACAGGATTTTATTTTATTCCCCGCTGTATCCTTTCTAAAACAGTTCCTGGAATATATGCAGGGCTTAAATAAATATTTATTAGATAAATGAAAGAATAAATTGTGGTCATAAACCTTTTTTTCTTTTCATGGATTTGATTATGTAGAATTGAAAGCAGATCTATACAAATGATAATGATAATCAGCAGCAGTATTTCTGGTGAACATTTCGGATCTGAACTTGTATATAAAAGCTCCCTCCTCCTTCCTCCTTTGTCTCCAGGCTTGTCCATTGCCCTTGGGATAAAACCCAAGCTCTTTAATCTGGTATTCAGGGTTTCTAAGATCTCGTCTCTGCAGTAATTTTAGCTTCACTTCTACACTAAGCCCTTACCCTCAAAGCCTACACTGCATTCATATTGAGTGACTTAGCATTCCTCTGATATGCCTCTTGCAAATGTCTCTTGAAGCGCATCTATTACATTTATATTTTGTCACTTATTTTTTTGTGGGTCTCTCCTTTTTACAGGAAAGGGACCTGGCATATTTTTTTTAAATTCCAGGACCCAGCATAGTTTCTGACATACCATAAATGGTCAGAAAATATTTATGGAATATGAAAGATGATTTTGCCTTCAAGTCAGAGACTAGAAACTTAAAGAGGTTGGATATGGGTTAGTAAATTGGTGAAAGCAGTTTAATCTCTGTATTGAGCTTGCAATGGCTGTGTCCAGGGACAAATAGGGATAAAGAGCACACAATATTAGAATTTTTAGCAGAATCATACTGGGTGCAGAGGAATGGCATGTAGCATAATTGAATCAGCCCCCTTAACCAGAAAAAAATGCTTAAGAGGGAGGAAGGGTTATTGGACAGGTGTTACTTAGAAGCAGAGCTATTTGGCAATGGATTAACCATAGGAGCATTAGTTCTACTATTTAGTCTGAGAATCGTGTAAGATGGTGATCTGCTTGTCATGAGGAAATAATGAAGGGGGAGAATTCAGGGAAGTGATTGCACATTCATGTTCTTGCTCATGGGGGTTAGGTGTTAGACTACGCTCAATCTGACTGCTCTTGGTTCAGTGGGAAAGAATGCTATGAAAATTCAGTTATATCTGTCAGTGGTGTGGAGGGGAAAATGGCTGTATTTGTTCAATACTAGTTGATGGTTTGTATATTTTGTGCTAATTTGTGAATGACCATGGATCTATAATCAATTGGCCCAGTAGTTGAATATGTAAACATGTTCTACATAATTTTAGTAATGTATATTTTATAAAAATGTGAACTTTATAGAGTCAAGTAAGCTATAGATTTTTAAGATTAAAAACTTTTTTTCTGAATCAGGTTTGTTACAGGAGGAGAAAATGGCCATTGAAGCATTTCAGATTTGCTGCCTCCTCCTGCCACCTGAAAATAGGAGAAAGTTACAGCTGTTGATGAAGATGATGACAAGAATCTGCTCAAATAAGGAGATGCCACCACTTGGTGATGGCCTTGGCACCCGAACACTGGTAGGTTGAGTTCTAACATCTAACATGACTTGAGTTTTTGGAATAAAATTCACCTGAGTAAAGTGTACTAGCTTGGCAAGCAGAGGAAGATACTAGTACATGGCAGACTTGCTTACGGAGCCATGGCTTGGAATCCACCCAGACTGGTATTGTGCTTTTGGTCTTAGTGTCTTAAAGAACATAATAAAAGAAAAAGTGAGTAGGGGCAGACTCTGAGTGTAAAGATACCTGCTGTATCCTGTCTACTGTCAACACAAAGAGAAGGAAGGGTGGACAGAAAGGATAAGTGATCTCTCAAGAAAACAACACTCTCTCCTCCAGGTTAAAAGGGTTGCAGAGTCATTGTTACTATAACCAGTAGGAGAGATGCAGCATATAAAGGGATTAATGAGGGAAGAAGCAAAATGTGGAATTGGACCAGACAACTGGGAAGGAGAAGGAGAACTTGTATCTCCTGGGGTATGACCTAAGGGTCCATGAATGAGGGTTTTTCTTAAAATATGCTCAATTTTGCTTAAAATTGAGTAATTTTAAATTCTACTTTGTAATGTCAGCGTGTGTTTTAAAATAGGGTTTATGTTTGGAATCGCTAATTAGCTAAATTTCTAAGTTATCTAAAAGTCTTAGAGTGAAATTGATGCTTCGTTGGTGTGTATATGTTATTCCCATTTCCTGGTGAACCCTGTGTACCCTTGGGGTCCACTGGCCCAGTTTTAGAAGTGTGGAGTAAGATAAGAGGAGTACTCAGTGCCCAGGGGAGTGATTCCTGTCCTTTTTGGGGAAGGAGTTGGTAGGGAGGCTAGTGGACTTTTCTGAAAAGCTGAAGAAAAGTTTGTACATATTCTCCAGAAGAACACGTGTGTACAATTTCAAGGCATTCATGGGTACCCTGGGGTCCATAGTCTCCCAGTACAGAGTCTCTGTGCACATAAATGTGAATGAAGATCAAGTGTCATCTGCAGTATTGATAAAGTGATGTCTTATTAGACAGAATTACATTTATAGGTTTTGAAATACAATCGTCAGCAATAAAATTACTAAGAAAATCCATCCAAAGGATAGCATTAAAAATGGAGTAGTTAATATGAATTCAGTGGAAGTAGCTGCTATAATATTTTTTTAAATTAATATATTTCTTTATTGATTTCAGAGAGGAAGGGAGAGGGAGAGAGATAGAAACATCAGTGATGACAGAGAATCATTGATCGGCTGCCTCCCGCATGCCCCCTACTGGGGATCAAGCCCACAACCCGGGCACGTGACCTTGGCCAGAATCGAACCCGGGACCCTTCAGTCCACAGGCCGATGCTCTATCCACTGAGCCAAACTGGCCAGGGCCTGCTATAATATTTTTTATATTTCTGCTTACCATAAAGGGTCTCATCACTTAATACACTTCTTGTAAAGCCTCATGGTTTTCTTCAGGATCACTCAAATGTACATTAAAAATCCTAGAGAAAATAACAGTTAACTAGGAAAATATATAGTGTTTGAGACCCATAAAACTGGGCAACTAGATTGATAAAAAACAATGATTAAAAAAAAATCAATGATGTAATTAGGATATTATCAGACTAAATGGCTATAAAGTACACTGAACTTAAAAGTGCTACATGATCAAGGGCATGGTGGTAATGATAATTTTCGGAATTTGTTTAAATATACATATTTAAAATCATCTGTGAAAGGAGTTTAAAAGCCTTCAGACAAGCATGTCTGCTAAGTCTCTGTGAGATGCGATGCACATTCTGCTCATGCTGATTAATGAGAAAATCAATACATGTGAGATGACCAGGTGTGGCTAAGTGCCATGTAGGATGTTCACCCTGTGCTGTGGGCCATTTCTCACTGACTAGTCACATTTGCTTTTTGCAAATTAAGATCGTACTCAATTCAGAGTAGGGAAAAAATTCATTGGTATTTATTTAAAAATCTCCCCCACCTTTTTTTTCCTTCTTTTAGATGATCCAGACATTTTCCCATTGCATCTTGTGCTCCAAGGATGAAGTGGACTTGGATGAGTTATTAGCTGCTAGGTTGGTAACATTTCTGATGGACAATTACCAAGATATTCTGAAAGTCCCTTTGGCCTTGCAGACCTCCATAGAGGAGCGTGTGGCTCACCTACGAAGAGTGCAGGTAAAGGAAGGGATATTCTCAAATCCTATGAAATTGTCAGCTAGGCTTCTTGGGAGTTTATGTTATGAGGACTAAGTGAATTAATATGTACAAGGTGCGTACAACAAGTCTTGGCACATAGTAAGCATACAAGTTTGTTATCACTGAAAATTCGTGGGTTGCCTACTTGGTTTTGTTATGTCAGTCAAAACCACATACTTTTGATTGCAAACTCCTTAAGTGAATTTGTTCAGAGTCTACATATACTTCCTGATGGAAATTATTTATATGAAATACATGTCTTCATTCTTAATAGCCCTGCAGCCTACATACTGTTATTATATTTTTTGGATGAGAAATCTTGGCAGAGAACTTAAGCAACTAGTCCAAGGTCACAGTGCCAGGATTCAAACTGATGAGATCAGTCTCCAGAATCAGTGCCCCTAACTCCCATACATACTGCCTCACTTCAGAACATGGTGTGGTAGGCGAACAAGAGCCATAAAGACCTGGGTCAAACTCCTGGCTCCCCATCTTCCCTTGTTGTGTGGCTCTGGGCAAATCCCTTAACCTCTCTCGATTTTAGTTTCTTCAATTATTAAAATGGGCCACACATATAAAGTGGTTGTGAAATATTACACAGTATAATACTAAATTATGGATTACTGTAAAACACCTTGCACAACTGCCTTACATGGTAGGTACCTCTTTGAAAGGGAGTGCTATCATCGTTGTTGTTGCTATATTATGTGGACCCTAAAATGGGGTTTGTATGTCAGCCTGTAGGAGCAGAAACTTTTGGTAAAAAGTCTTGGCAGAAATTCTACTTGGTTCCTTCAAAATGGTTCGACCTCTTCTTCACTAAAGTGCTTTTTGAGGTTCCTCAATTTTGGGGCAGTTTGAGGCTGACCTGGGATCAGTTGTGAGGCAGGCATTGTTTTTACACCAGCCTTCTATCAACCTTATTTGCAACCCTCTTCTCCCAGTTGTGCCCTTTAATGATAGATATCTGGTGTTTTTCTCCTTTTACCTAGGACTCGCCCTTTATTCCAGCCCTTTCCTGGTTTTACTGGCCAGAATAAAGGGTGAGTCCTAGGTAAATAAAAAGGAAGTATCCTGTCTTTCCCTTCTGGTTCTGGTCTGTCTCTCTTAGGTTGTCTCTAACTGATTTGGTAAACTGATGTTGAGGCATGGACTGTACTTAATGTACTACTCTTCTTGGCAACACTTATTTTTAACTGTGGCTTCTGGAAAACTATCTTAAGCCAAAGAAGTGAATAGCTGCAATTTTATTCACTGCAGAAGAACAATAGATGCCCTATTTTTGAGAAGATGACCCTCTTGGACTCTGAAGTTAAGTATTTTTCATGGATGCTCACTTATTCACAGGTTTTGGTATCATCTTTCCTCTTACTTCTCCCTTTGCCCTGTACAGTGTCTGCACATTTGTTGTTTTCAGTTGATTCTCACTATTCACATGTTTGACAATGGTTGTAGGACTTCCCTCTCCATGACAGCTGGGCTAAAGTGTGCAAGGAAGGGAACACTAGACTCTTCAGATGGGGAAGGAACCTGATAATTCACTGTGTGTCCAACATTGTTTTTTGTTTTGAATCATTTTAGAGTCAACTTGTTTAGTTTATGTTTCAATTTCAGACATTATTAATTAAGAGTTTTCCCCAGTTAAAATTGAGGAATGACATGTGCTGTAAATTGTGTTTAATCTAAACAAATTTTTGTAATTTATTTGAAAATACACTTTTTTTTCTCTACTAATCCTTTTGCTTCAGATAAAATACCCAGGAGCCGACATGGATATCACTTTATCTGCTCCATCATTTTGTCGTCAAATTAGTCCAGAGGAATTTGAATACCAAAGAGCATACGGCTCTCAGGAACCTCTGGCAGCTTTGTTGGAGGAGGTCATAACAGATGCCAAGCTCTCCAGAAAAGAGAAGAAGAAAAAATTGAAGCAGGTAAAAGGGATATTCTTTTTATTTTTCTCTTTATTGATTAAGGTAGGTGTCCTTATCCCCCATTTCCCCCTCACCACCCCCACTCATGCCCTCATCCCCTCCCACCCCCCACCGGTGTCTGTGTCCATTGGTTAGGCTTATATGCATGCATACAAGTCCTTTGGTTGATCTCTCCCCCTTCCCCCCACCTTCCCCTACCTTCCCTCTGAGGTTTGGCAGTCTGATCAATACTTCTTTGTCGCTGGATCTGTTTTTGTTCATCAGTTTATGTTGTTCTTTATATTCCACAAATGAGTGAGATCATGTGATATTTATCTTTCTCTGACTGGCTTATTTCACTTAGCCTAATGCTCTCCAGTTCCATCCATGCTGTTGTAAATGGTAAGAATTCCTTCATTTTTACTGAAGCGTAGTATTCCATTGTGTAGATGTACTACAATTTTCTAATCCACTCATCTGCTGATGGACACTTAGGCTGTTTCCAAATCTTAGCTATTGTAAATTGTGCTGCTATGAACATAGGGGTGCATATATCCTTTCTGATTGGTGTTTCTGGTTTCTTGGGATATATTCCCAGAAGTGGGATCACTGGGTCAAATGGGAGTTCCATTTTTAGTGTTTTTGAGGAAACTCCATACTGTTCTCCATAGTGGCTGCACCAGTCTGTATTTCCACCAGCAGTACACGAGGGTTCCTTTTTCTCCGCATCCTCGCCAGCACTTGTCGTTTGTTGATTTGTTGATGATAGCCATTCTGACAGGTTTGAGATGGTACTGCATTGTCGTTTTGATTTGCATCTCTTGGATGATTAGTGACTTTGAGCATGTTTTCATATGTCTCTTGGCCTTTCTTCTGTCCTTTCTGAAAAGTGTCTATTTAGGTCCGTTGCCCATTTTTTGATTGGGTTGTTTATCTTCCTTTTGTTTAGTTGTATGAGTTCCCTGTAAATGTTGGAGATTAAAACCTTATCAGTGATAACATTGGCAAATATGTTCTCCCATGCAGTGGGCTTTCTTGTTGTTTTGTTGATGGTTTTTCTTGCTGTACAAAAGCTTTTTATTTTGATGTAGTCCCATTTGTTTATTTTCTCTTTAGTTTCCAATGCCCTAGGAGCTGTATCGGTGAAGATACTGCTTCGGCATATGTCTGAGATTTTGCTGCCTGTGGATTCCTCTAATATTTTTATGGTGTCCCGTCTTATGTTTAAGTCCTTTATTCATTTTGAGTTTATTTTTGTGTATGATGTACGTTGGTGGTCTAGTTTCATTTTTTGCATGTATCTGCCCAATTTTTCCCAACACCATTTATTGAAGAGACTGTCTTGACTCCATTGTATGTTCTTGCCTCCTTTGTGAAATATTAATTGAGCATAGTGGTTTGGGTCGATTTCTGGCCTCTCTATTCTATTCCATTGATCTATATGTCTGTTCTTGTGCCAGTACCAGGCAGTTTTGAGAATAGTGGCTTTGTAATACAGCTTGATATCTGGTATTGAGATCCCTCCTACTTTGTTCTTCTTTCTCAGGATCGCTGCAGCTATTCGGGGTCTTTTTTTTATTCCAGGTGAATTTTTGGAGAGTTCATTCTAGGTCTGTGAAATATGCCATTGGTTTTTAAGGGGGAGTGTGTTGAATCTGTAGATTGCTTTGGGTAGTATGGACATTTTAATGATGTTGATTTTACCAATCCATGAACACGGTATGTTCTTCCATCTATTTATGTCTTCCTCTATCCCTTTTTTCAGTGTCCTATAGTTTTTTGAGTAAAAAGTGATATTCTTTATTAGTAATTTATTCTCCCTATAGTTCTTATGGTTTTTTTTTAATTCTCTATTTTAAAGGGTTTCGTGCAAATCTCATCTTCTGAGATAGCAATTTTGAAAGTATATTGTTTAGTTAATCTATTCCAGAAGTCTCAGTGATTTACACGTGTAGGTTGTGGTTAATTTCCCACATCTTTATTCTCCAAAGTACATCTTTTACCATTTATTCTCTAATATTTGTCTTATTTTGATATGTGGCATATGATATGAGTTAGAAGAGAAATTACTTTAAACTTAGAGAAGCTATTAAATGAGGACAGATTTCTTTGAAATCACACTGAATTTACAAATATAAAATGTCTAGAAATTAAAAGCCTTTGGTTTTAGATAGCCAGTGTCAAATTGGTTTCTTGCCTCAGGCATCACGAAATTTCCTATTAAACAACATGGCTTAGGGTTTCAGACAATTGTTTTCACCTCAAAATATGTTTACTATGACCATTCTTAAAATATCGATCCAAGGTTAAATGAATGGTTTTTATGTTTAAAGACTGAATCCTGTGTAGCTTGACTCCTGGTCACACCATAGGTATAGGATTATATACAGAGCACTGGAGTTCTGGATCCCCAATTATATTTTCCTCAGTCATCTTGGAGAAGAGTTCGGTGGTGAGGAGCAGAGGAAAAACTATTGCCTCTCTTTAAGCTTTTCATAATATAACATATACTACATTGTTTTCAATTTGGGCAGAAGCAGGTGGGCTAAGAAATGGTGGAAGGAGTTTGACCAAAATTTTAATTATTTAGAACATGTTATTTTCAGGTCAGAGTTAATTATTATTTTTAAAGTAAGGTTGATTTACAGTTGGCAGTGGGGGAAATATAAGACGTGACTTAAATGAGAAGTTTATTTGAATGTTGGATCAAATTAAAGGTGAATTCGATTTATAGAAAGTGAAATCAAATGATTCAACATAAAAAATGGATTTGTGTTCAAGTAAATTTGACTGTGATCTGATTTCTTCTTTTTTATTTTTTGGATGGAAAACAACAATAAAACAAAACAAGAACAGGAAAATATGGGGTCAGAAACTCATTATAAAATTAGATTGTCCAATTTTATTGACTCTTACCTGTTTTCTGGGTTCATTGTAGATCTCTCTCTCTCTCTCTTTTTCTTTAGTTTCAAAAATCCTACCCTGAAGTCTACCAAGAACGATTTCCCACACCAGAAAGCGAAGCACTTCTGTTTCCTGAAAAACCAAAACCAAAACCACAGATGCTAATGTGGGCACTAAAAAACCCTTTCCAACCATTTCAAAGAACTAGAAGTTTTCGGATGTAATACTTTCACAGCCAGTGGAGATCTCAGACGTTGTTTTGAATAAATGGGTGGAAGAAAGAGGAGCAGAAAATACAGACTACTGAAATATAAATATGATCTGACTTCAAAACATGTTGAGTTGCCCAGCTGGCATGGCTCAGTGGTTGAGCGTCAACCTATGAACCAGGAGGTCATGGTTCAATCCCCGGTCAGCGCATATGCTTGGCTTGCCAGTTTAGTCCCCAGTGTGGGGGCGTGTAGGAGGCAGCCGATCAATGATTCTCTCTCATCATTAGTGTTTCTATCTCTCTCTCCCTCTCCATTCCTCTCTGAAATCAATAAAAAGACATTAAAAAGACACACAAAAAACCATGTTGAGCCATTATCAGTATTTTTCTAAAACTCATTGCTAGATTTAAAGTATACAAATCAGTTAAACATTATGAAATATATAGTAATGTTAACATATTTGTAATCATTAGAAAATTCAAGGCTATTTTTATTTGTTGTTTTTCATGGTGTTTGTGAAATAATTGTGTGTACATCCTATTTACTGATGTCTTTGTTATAACCAAATCTTAGAAATAGTGTATATACTTGAATAAGAAGACACTGGGTACCATTACTGTGATGCTATTGACTTAATAGCCAATTATGATATTTCCTGTGTAAATTCTGATTTTCACTGTTACACAAAGAGTCTTAAATGTCCTGTGTTATGATATCTGTATCTTTTATTGAAGGTTTGTTGGCTGCTATGACAGATTTTACTAAAGCTGGTTCTTTTATAACATATATATTAGTTGGTGTTTACTTGGAAGTGGAGTAGATTTTCATCTGACTGCAGTGGTATAATTTCAGTCATGGCTAGAGATGGAAAACTGAACAGGATAAATGCTTTCATTCCCTTTAGACATGTGATTGTAAGTCAAATCTTTGTTGTTTCATGAAAAACACAAATGGGTTAAGTAAAATGAAACTACCTTCTTTATAAATATGTTTCCCCTAGCTTCCTCATTCTTCTGAAAGTAAATAGAATATAAATAAATACTGTTTGGTTTTTTAAAAATACTGTACATGGTGTTTTATGGGTTTTTTTGGCATTTATTTAAGTATTTTTCAAATGCTTGACATGTTGCCTTGTCCACTGTTCTCATATTAGTCATTTATTTCTATGATAGAATAAGAAGTGAGATTTTGCCCTGACCAGTTTGGCTCAGTGGATAGAGCGTCGGCCTGCAGACTCAAGGATCCCAGGTTCGATTCTGGTTAAGGGCATGTACCTTGGTTGTGGGCACATCCCCAGTGGGGAGTGTGCAGGAGGCAGCTGATCGATGTTTCGCTCTCATCGATGTTTCTAACTCTCTATACCTCTCCCTTCCTCTCTGTAAAAAATCAGTAAAATACTTTTTTTTTAAAAAAAAAGTGAGATTTTGGCTTTTGTACTAGCCTTTAGGAGGGTGCTTTGTCCATTTTTTTTTTTTTTTTTTTTGGGCTTACTTTATGCTTTTGCAAATAGTGGTACACTTGGATTATGGACTATCTGGAAGGCTTCTGAGAACAACTACCCCAAAAGTTCAAGTAACACTCATTAATGGGCATGCTCTGCTCTTTGTTCTGATTTTCCCCTGCACTTGAGATCTGCCCCGGTTCTTTTGTAGCAGAATGCCTCCAACAATCGACTCAGATTTTGCTTACTTAAAATGGATAAAAGTATTTGTACTAGCTTGGGTAACATCTCACTTTGCAAATATGTAAAGTAATGGGAGTTTTTAGTGTTTCAGGATTTATTCACAAACCTTGAAATTCTGTGTAGAGCAAAGAATGTCTACTTTTTACTCAATTTGCTCTCCAACGTAGAGTTTACTTTCCAGAGTCTCCTATTGCTTATCTTTGAAAATATATGTTAATTTTCCCATTTTCCTCTTACTGTTACTTTTAAGTATTGAGAGATCATAAAACATCCCTATCACCTAAGTGTAAAATTGATGAATGGATAATGCCAGTTTTTCAAAGTGGTTGTAACAATTCACACTCCCACCAGCAGTGTATGAGTTCCTTTTGCTCAACATCCTCACCAAAACTTGCTGTCGTCAAGAGTTTGAAATGTAAATGTGGTGGGCATATGATGGTATCTCATTATGATTTTACTTTGCATTAATATGGTTAAAGACTATTTCCAAATATATGTATATTTTTGAACAGAGAGGAAGGGAGAGGGAGAGAGAAAAATAAATGATGTGAGAGCTGCCTCCTGCACACCCCCCACATGGGGTTTGAGCCTAAAACCTTGTCATGTGCCCTGAACAGAAATCAAACCAGCAACCTTTTGATGCACAGGATGACGCCCAACTAACTGAGCCACACCGACCAAGGCTCCAAATATTATTATTTTTAATCCTCACGAGAAGATATTTTTCTATTGATTTTTAGAGAATGGAAGGAAGGGAGGGAGAAACCCTTCAGTCTGCGGGCTGATGCTCTATCCACTGAGCAACACTGGCTAAGGCCATTTTAATAATTTTTAAGTGTAAAGAATGTCCTCATTCTTTAAAGATATTTCTGCTGTGTATAGAATTCTGGGTCAATGGCTATTTTATTTCAGTACATTGTAGTTATCATTCTTTTGTTAGTTGACCTCCATTGTTACTATTGAGAAATCAGTTGGCACTCTAATTGTCACTTATTTATAGGCTAGAGGCCCGCTGCACGAATTTGGCAACAGGTGGGGTCTGGCTGGCCTGCCCCGATCAGGGCCAATTGGGCCGGCCGGGGTGAGGGGCCATGGGCGGTTGGCTGGCCGGTCCTACCCCCTGGTCAAACTCCCAGTTGAACTCCCTGTCAAGGGGACAATTGCATATTAGCCTTTAATATATAGGATAATATGTCTTTTTTTTTTTCCTGACTGCTTTTTAGAATTTCCTGTGTCTGGTTGTCTTCACTTTATGTGATATGCTTTTTAAACAATTATTCTTGGAATTTGTGGGGTATTTTAAATAAGAGGATTGAAGTTTTTCATCACTTTAAATATTGTCATTGTAACAGTCTCTGCCTTTGAATAAACATTTTTCACTCTATCATCTCTTATTCTCTGAAGCAGCTGTTTTTCTGTGTTGCATTTCTTCCATTTCAGCACGTCTTTCTTCAGGTAAGTCTAGTCTCCTGTTAAATTCTTATATTCACTATTATGGAAGTTGTATCCAATCTACAGCTCAGGAAACTGAGACTTGGTGAGGTTGGGTAACTTCCCTAAGGTTACCAGCTTGTGAGTAACAGTAGGCAGGAACAGTCAGCTCTGACTGACTGCAGAGCCCAGGCTCCTGACTAACATGTCTTATTGTCGCCCAGTGAACACTAATCTATGGTTTTTCTGAATACTTTTTAGATAGTAACATACAACCTCACATGTTATTTTTTCAGCCCATACTTTCTAAAACTTGAGATCTCAGATTTCTTTTTGATTTGCAGTGTTTTCATTGTTCTGGCCTTGCTTTGCCAAATTCATTTCCAGTTTCTTTTGGTCACTTTCTACAAATACCTGCTGACAATTTTTCACTGAGTTTCCCACAAATTCCCATTAAAAAATCCTGCAATAGTGATTAAAACAAAGGTTCATTTGGAGCTCTGTGAATGCAATCATGTATTTGTTTTATTTTTAGGTACGCTTTTTAAAGTATTTTTATCTTTATGTATAATTGCTTTTACTTTTAGGTATGATAAGTAGAAAATGCCATAGAGATTATCATTGATCTCAGAAACTGTAATAAGGAATTTATCAAGTGAGTGTTCTGTATGGAAAATTTGAGAGTGCTGCAGCATGTTTTTAAGGTTGAAATAGCTCCTGCATGAGCAGGATGATGGAATTCAGCCATTCATCATTCTGACTTCTCACACATCTCCTGGATCTGCCTTCAGGGAATCCTGTCTGGGGTCTAGCAAATGTAATAGACATATGGGCCATGACTCAGCGTTTGTGTTATCCAGGAGCTTGATTCTGATTCTTAAATCTAGAAGAGAGTTTCTATACATTTTTATAGGAAATGTAGCTTTTTAAAAAAGCCAGTATTTGTGAACTGCTTATGTACCAGAGGAGGAAACTAGTCCTATGTTTGAAATGTCATAAACATTTTTTATCATGATTAAGAGAGGAATCAGTTAAAATGGCTCTTTACTATATGGGTATGGTTTATTACTAGAGGCCTGGTGCACAAAATGCGTGCACGGATGCAGTCCCTAGGCTAGGCCGGCATCTGGCGTGGAAGGGCAGGTCCCAGCTGACCTCTGGGCCCTGAGAAGCACCTAGGCCTCCACTCAGCTCCCTTAGTGCCTGGTAGTCCCCTGCCGCCGCCGCTGGTCGCAGTTTGTGGGGCGATTGGCAGGGTGATTGGGCCTTGCTCGCACCTGCCTTGGCCTGGCACCACCCTTTCAGCTGCTCCACCATCACTCAGCCGACACGCTCTCGTCGGGGCCCATCAGGGCCGGCAGCGCCTCCACTGCGGCCCGCAGTCAGCGCCACATCACTGACACCCGCCATGTTTCGCGTCGCCCCTTGGTTGTCACTGCACATCATAGCGAGCCGTCGAACTCCCGGTGGAGGGGACAATTTGCATATTAAGCTTTTTTTATATAGGATATCTTTACTTTCATCCCCAAGAACAAAACCCCTCAAACTTTAAAGGACTGGAGTAAAGTAAGACTATTACCTAATAAAAGCCATATCAAGAGGCAATTCCACTCTTTCTATGCATCATAGCAGTTGCCTAAATTTGAAGTACTCACTCCAAAATGAGACATTAGAAATTCTAATCTTAGGGCATTGGAATCATTCTAGGATTTCCTTGCTTAACACGTTAAGCACCATGTCAGTCACCGGTGACCGACACTATACTTTCCATCCGGACCAGTCAGTCACTGGTGCCACCAGCATATTGGTGAAATCGGATATCGCCGGCTAAATGGAAAGGAAGTCAAAACAGGCTTGACGCTTAACATGTTAAGACAAAAAAAGTATAATATCTTGACATCATTGCATATTGGGTCTCACAGGCAAAGAAATTAATACATAAACTATGATTATTGGGCCTTTAAGAAATTATTTGCTCCTGGGTACTCAAGTGATTTGAAAGTTGGGATCTGGACCACATTAGTAAACAGAGAATTTGTTTATTTGTATTAACTTGGAAATACATTTATTATTTAATTTTGTAGAACAAATATGCACCCTGGGATAAGTGGAGGATATATTCTCTAACAGTATAATGAGTAACTTCTGATAACCTTAATATTCAAGCTTTCAATTTGAGGAAATAGAATGTGAACAATAATGGGAAAATAGGGTACTAGCCCAATTTTTAAAAATATCATTTTCAGTTGTTTTGTGCATATCTGTTGCTATGTAAGCTTTAGAATTTCCTAATGAATGTAAGATTTAATTAAAAATGTACAGTTTCTGCAAATTCCACCTTGGAGAATTGTTAAGTGAATTGCTTGCTTCATTTGGGGATCTAGAATAAATTATGTTTTCCATAAAACATGCCTATTTCAAAACAACAAAACAATATATGTTCTTGGCTAGTTCTGCTCACTCTGTAATATCTCCTTTGGGGGCTCTTCTGTCAAAACTGAGAACACTTACAGTATCCAAAGCCTTTTCTATGAGAATATAGCAAAAGTTATTCTCCCTTCTTCCGACTCCCACAAATTTTACACATTGCTGTCAGCATCTCTCTAATGTAAAAGCAAGGTAGTCTTCTTGAGTATTCTAGTGAAACAGATGCAGCTTTATTTAATTAAAAACAAAACAACATACCAGAGGACTAAAGAGTTTTATTTCTGTGAAAAATAAGTAAACTATGATTGCTATTTAAAATTGAAATATTTTTGTTTTGATTAGTTGTAGGCTAATCCAACATGGGAATGAAAGAGGCCTTTTGCTCACTGTTTCCACTAAGAACTTGTGACCTTTTGACGAGTCCTGGCAACAAACATTTCAGTGATAATTTACCAAGATAGCAAGCAGGTTTGCTGCTAAAGATAGTTACAACAGGATAAAATGCAATTTCTGATTTTCTGAGAG